GTTACTCTGACACTACTGTCATTGTACTTTTTGCTGCTGCCATGTCTCAGACTTGTTACAGAATGAAAAACACAATTGTGAGTGGAGTTTTTTCCCCATAAAATGCTAGTGGTTGTGGGCTTGTAGTCTTGCCTTTCACATTACCAAGCTTGCCTCTTCTCAAGTTTTTGTTTTTCCCCTATTTCCTTTGGTTCGTTCACAGGCCCAGCCGTAAGAGCACAAGGAGCTATGAAGCTAAATAATACTGCTAGCTACAAAAAAAAATTTGAGTTCCTTTTATCTGCAACAGCATTACTAACTTAAAATAAAAACAAGTGTCTGCACACAAGCTACAGGCCGTTACTTATTAAGGGATTTGCTTAATTAAAAAACAGGATAAAATAAGCTTGTATTGCCACTAAAAGAACAATGCTTGGCACTAGCTAAAATAAAACAGTCCTTCGGGGTTTCAGTGTTGAGCAGTTGGAGCACTTGGTTTACAGTGGGTTACAACAGAAAAAATAACCTTGTCCTACATCTAGGCAAGGGGTGTACAGGAAGATAAATTATGTGCAACTGCTTTAGATAATTTTTTATTGAGCTAGAAAGTTTGAATCCCTATTCGAGTGCTTGGGGCACTTTAGAGGAGGGAACATATAAGAGGACTACCAGCTGCTGTCACTACCATTGTCTTTGGGGTGAGCCAGGAGGTATTCTTGGGGATCACCTGGATCAGGCCACATAGGTAAGAAGGGCTATAGGAATGTATTTACTTTCCACATCCTGTCAGGGCTTGGTTATGATCAAAAACGTTGTGACCTGTTGTGGTCTTAATTGCTTGCAACAGAATTGCTCTATTTTTCCATGGTCAAGAAATTTAGTGAAAGTTAGGAGCAGGCACTTCCACTTTTCTAAGGGGTCTAAAAAGGTTGATAACTACTGGTCTAAGCCTTTAGCGTCCATGCTACTTCAGCTTCCTTTTAAACATGTAGTCTTGCTTTAGGAAGCTGTGGTTCTTATGCCCACGTTTTGGTGTTTGCCACCTTTTGGCTGGCTTTGGCAAAGATTGCATGCATGTGTAACTCCTTGAAAAAAATGTTGCTTTTCTGTCTAGACGTTGTTTTTTTTACCTACTGTTCTTCATCCTCAATACTTCCCTTTACTGAAGGAGAAAAGTGAGTGGGGTGTCTTATTTGACTACTTAAACACCTTTCACAAACTCATGGAAAATTCTTTCAAAGCACTGAGGTAATGGGGCCTCTGAAAAGTATACACATATCCAACTGTTTTGTATTTAACATTGTAAGTAATAGGGCTTGTTTTTAAAATCAGTCAGCATGATTGTTCTGGTATAATAAACAATGCTTTTTTCATTTGGAATATTATTTTAAATGACTCCTTTCATCCGAACACATTTCCTTCTGTTCTGCCAGTGTTCTGAATGAAACAAAGTAACACAAGACTGATAACTGGTCAAATTCAGTTTCCATTTTCATCACTGCCTCTAAAGATTTTTGGTTTGCTATTCAAGGGTTATGAACAATGAAGATGAACTCTATTAAAGAACATTTGGGCCCTTTCCTGATTCAAAATCTTAAGAACCTTGCCTCTGGCTTACTTTCCCAACACCGCGCTGCTCTGTGGGTCATGGAGTACTCTAAACTTTGCACTACAAAAGCATGGTTCTGGGTAGCATCCTCTAACCTTTTTCCTCTTCTGCATAACTTCCATTATTTCTTTGATCTAAGAAACATTCAGAAAGGATATATCGTTGAGTTAGTTTTCTTACTTCAGTGGTTGCATAGTTCTGGAATGTCACAAGACTTTCACATTTGCAGTGGTCTTTATCTTTTGGAGGATTTGCTGGAAAAACAAACATTTTTAAAAGCAGTGATGCATAAAATGACACTGTAGTAAAGCTACTAATGAACAGTATATTCAGTGTACCTTCCTTGCATTGAAACATGGAATAATACCAAAAGGATCATTTAACAAATCCTAATTGTGTAGAACTAGTTGCATTAATTGAGGATTGTGGAAGAGTTAACTAGGGTAACATGAAGAAACAGGTAATAGAGGGCTGCTATGGCACAGGTGTTTGTCTAAGATTTTCCAAACTTTGTGTATCTTTCCTAATCTGTGATCAAAAGGCCTGGTGCCTAAAGATTATGTAAATGACAATTACCTGATGTGCCTGTTGTCTTTGACTGGCTCTCTTCAAAAAGATACTTGTGGTGTACTGCAAAATTGGAGCAGGCCAGGAGGTCTGTGATGGTTATGGTAGCAGCTTCAAGTCCTGCGAAAACAAAAACACCCCAAAAAACAGATTATACAACACAACTGTTGTATTTTGTCGACAATTCTACTTCATGTAACACTAGATTATGCCACGCTTATGCCAGACTTCACTAAGTGAACTCATCCATTTTAGTGGGAGCTATTTATGAAGTACTACTCAATGGATTTTTATTTTACCCATAGAAGTTGAGGATTTCAAAAACAACATCTATGTACTCTGTAGTGAATTTAGGCCTGGATTGTAGATGGAATTTGTTAGTCCCTAGCATTTTGGATCTGACTGACATGATTGTAAATAAAATTAACTATAGCTGGGGTAGAGAAATAACAGCATCCAAATGAACATGGTGATAAGGTGAGAGCATGTAGCTTTGGAACAGGTTCTGAGCTTCACTGCAGAAGTTCAGGGGTGGGGGGAGGATTTTTGTCCAAGTCTCCCTCTAGGTGGTTGGCTTACCCTAAAGAAAACTGGAGTGGGGTGGGGGAGGCAACATGACACCGGGGAGGGGAGCAGATCACCTAGTTAAAGCATCTAACCTGAAGAATGTTGACCAGGCTTGGGAGGGCTCCCTGCTGATGCATCCTGATCTTCCAGAGCTGTCAGAAATGATTACCAAAATGGAATGAGACCATATTCAGAGAAATGCAACTGTGACTGCACAAATAATTCTGATATAAAGAATAAGACCCTTTTTTACTGAACAGATTTTTTCTTACTAGCAGCTTATCTCCCTGTTTGTGGTGAGTAGGTAATTATGATTCTTACCATGTAAATTGGAGAAAAGGCAGTGTTGCCCTTAAGTGCTCTAACAGAACCTTTTAGCTCTACTTACCAGAAATATTCTGTTGCTGTAGTGTTTCCAGTTTTAATGCTGCCTTCAGAGAGAACTTACTGAAGCTGAGTTCTCATTTAACGTGGGGGAGTTGAGTGAGGCAACAAGTCACTCATTCTGCTTCACAGTTCTCATCAAAACGGAAAGTAGCAATTGGCAGGTCACAGGATAGGGGAAGGCAGGATAAAGCAGAATTTTAACTACCACACTAGGATAACAGACCATTCCATCACAGCAAGAACTGTAGATGCTTTTATTTCCTCGGATGTGAGTGGTACATTTCCCCCCCCACTTAATACCACTAGATATTTTGTAGCAGGAGCCTTTGTTTCCTCTGTGATTTGGTTTTCCAGAATTTTAACATCTTGCCTGTAGTAACTGGTACACTGGATAGACCAAGCAAGACAAGTAAGACCTTTACAACTATGAGTGTCAATTTTCATTACAACTTTCTAAAGGAAGGCTAAAGACTACAAGAAATGATAGAACCATTTCCCAAGAGCCCTCAGGGTTTTTTGCATTTTGTGAAAAACTTTTTCCTCACATCCACAGCAATACCTCCATATCTATCTTCTTCTCATATAAAATATAAACTGATGCCAAGTCTTGGAAGTCATAGCAACTAAAAAAGCTGGTCTCGGGCATGTTTAATGAATAAATGAAACTGCAGTTGACTTGGCTGTAAACGAGGGTCTGGTCACCTTAGTCGAGGAGTCAAATAGATGGATGTGTTGCCACCTCCACTGCTTTATTGGGTGCTATTGGGCTAAGTGCTATAAACACACTGACTGGATGGGCTGATAGGCTCAGACGGATATTCCTACACTGTTCTGGGCACCTAACTTCAAGTAGTGGGGTCTCATTTCTAGAAGTGCTGAGAACTGTGTTTTAACTAAAATTAATAGGAACTGTTGTTTGCATATAAGTGTTACATAGTGCTAAGTACTGAAAAGTTAGGTCTTGGGTGTCTGAAATTGGGCACCCAAAATTACTTTTGATGTTATATGTTTTATGTAACTCAGTCAAACACCAGTTAACTATGAATATTACCAGGTCCTCAAGCGTGCTGTGACAAGAAATTAATTCATATTAGTTAATTGGGTAGCACTCCCATAAAATAGTCATAAGCACCACAGAAAAGCCCATGAGGAAATTAACCATCTTCAGTAAATACACCCACATTTTGAACAGTGAGAACAGAACAATATTTAATAGTTGTCAGCTGAGGACAGCCCAGTTTCTTGTGTAGGAGAAAAGCCCCAGAAAACACTTTCTCAGGATAGAAAGGGAAAAAGGAGGCCATGAACCCCAATTTTGTACTGCCTATTCATTAAACAATATAAATCATAGCCCTTTAGCTTGTAAGAGCAGGCTAGGATGGGTTTTCTTCTACTTGGAAATCCTGGTTATGTTCCTGGTTAAGTCTGCCTTGGGAGAGCCATGACTTCAGGCTGGGAGATTTGGGATAAGGCTTTAAGCTTCTTGTGACTGAAAACTCCCTACTCTGGGTAGTTGGTTTGTGGTGGCAGATCATAACTCACTCTAGGAAAAGCTGTCTGCACAATCTGAAAGGACACACTCCAGAGGGAACAGACGGCTAGAGACCATCTAGTAATCCCTTAGTTGAGAAGCTGAAATAAAGTTGCTGGATGTACAAAAAAGGACACAAATCAAAGTTACAAAACAAAGTAATCCAATGAAAGTGAACAGTTAGCCTGTTCCTCTGCAGGAGGCAGGAATTTCCGGTGACCTGAGCTGAAGGGAAAGAGTTGGTCTTGAAGCACCCAACAAACCCTGGGCTGCCTCTGAATTCCACAAATGCAAGTCAGTGCCCCGTTATGAGTGAGGAACAGGGAGGAAGCTGTGCAACAGAATAGTGGGACTGAGGCTTGCTGAATACTGGAGGACAAGTTTCTACTTTAAAAACACTAGAGGGCAGGATTGACTTAAGTTTTTCTAGCAACTCACATTTCTGAAAAACTAAATGAAATATATGGCAATTAAATGGTGCTGCAGCTACCTGAAGGATATATTTTCTGCATGGACCGCCAGGGTAGACTGTGTACAGAAATTGGTAGGGTAGCTGCCAGAGAATTTTGGACTTGAAATCTTGCTGTGTTTTTAAGAGTGTCATCAGCTGTTTGTTGGTCCAGCAAAAGGGTTAATTTTATGCATATTATTTTTCTGCAGATCAGAGGGACCTAGCAGTAAGATATTTAGGATTGAGGCAAAGGCAGAGAATAGACAGTAAACAGATTCCTCAGATTCTTTTTCCCCTGTCGTGTGCTCTCTTGCCAGGCAGTTTTGTACAGCAGAACCAAAAAACAAACAAAACTTCCCCATTGAATGATTAAATGCAATGAAAATGAAGCAACCTCTTGAGATTCCTGATTCAGAATGATGTATGAATGAATGAGTGACACTTAAGGGCTAGGAGTATTTGACTGATTGGCTGAAGGGTCGCACTCAGAGGGTGGTGGTGGATGGGTCATATTCGACCTGGGGGGAGGTGGGTAGCGGAGTCCCCCAGGGCTCGGTCCTGGGGCCTGCGCTGTTCAATTTCTTCATCAGCGATCTAGATGATGGGGTGGAAAGTAACCTGTTTAAATTCGCTGATGACACCAAAATTTGGGGGGAGGTGAGCACGCTAGCAGGGAGTGAGAGATTGCAGAGGGATCTGGATAGGTTACAGGGGTGGGCTAACAGGAACAGGATGCGTTTCAATACGGACAAGTGCAGGGTGCTGCACTTGGGCAGTAGGAACCAGCAGCACACTTACACAATGGGGAACTCCCTACTTGAGAGCACGGAGGCAGAAAGAGATCTTGGAGTCATTATTGACTCCAAGATGAACATGGGCCGACAATGCGAGGTCATGGTTGGCAGGGCTAACCGGACCTTGTCGTGCATCCACAGGTGCATCTCGAGTAGAGCCAAGGAGGTGATCCTCCCCCTCTACGCGACGCTGGTCAGGCCACAGCTGGAGTATTGTGTCCAGTTCTGTGCGCCCCATTTCAAGAGGGATGTGGACAACATGGAGAGGGTCCAGAGGAGGGCCACCCGCATGATCCGGGGACAACAGGGCAGACTCTACAGTGAGAGACTGCGGGACCTGAACCTATTCAGCCTCCACAAGAGAAGGCTGAGGGGGGACCTGGTGACTGTCTATAGACTCACTAGGGGGGACCAGAGGGGTTTGGGGGAGACGCTGTTTCCCCTAGCGCCCGCTGGCATAACAAGGAGTAATGGGCACAAGTTGATGGAGAGGAGGTATAGATTGGACATCCGCAAAAACTACTTCACAGTTAGGGCGGCTAGGAGCTGGAACCAACTTCCAAGGGAAGTGGTGCTGGCCCCTACCCTGGGGGTCTTTAAGAAGAGGCTGGATGCCTACCTGGCTGGACTCATTTGAGTCCCGTTTTTGTTTTGGGGTTTTGTTGTTCTCCCGCCCTGGCGGGGGGTCGGGCTAGAAGATCTACTAGGTCCCTTCCGACCTTAAATCTATGAAACTATGAAACTATGACTGGGGCAGAGAGCATAGCCTGGTCCCTGGTGCACAGATATCCCTTCCAACTCAGATTCCCTGCTGTTTTTACAAAGGAGCTCACAGGCGAGTGTCTCATACTTGTTACACAATGTGTGGGTCAGATTCTGAGCTGGAGAATCAAAGACATGGGCTTCTGTACAAACTGAGGTTCTCCCTGTTTACTTCCTGATTATATTAAGCTACTTGTTCTGGAAATGCTAAAAAGAACCCTTAAATACAAAGCTACTGATACAGGCCTAAGAGCAATTCAAATTGCTCAATAAAACATAAATAATTTTGAATATTTTCCCCAGTGTTCTAACAAATTAAATCATGTTGCTTTAGCAGGGTGCAGTTCAGCGAGTTGCTGATCTAACTGCAGCACAGAGGGGGAGGGTATACTCCCAACCCTTTTGGGTTTTAAAAGTGTATGTTTTATATATACCTTTATTGGAATTGAGAAAAGAAAAGGAAAAAATGATCTGTGCCTTTGGCCCTAGATTAAGATTTTATGTTCTTCAAATGTTAAGCAGTCAAAGTATGACTCTTGCTGAGTGACTCAAGTTTCTCATGTTTCAGATAAACCACTATGTGGTATATCCTGGGCCTGTATTATGAAGGAGGTTAGACAACATAATTCTAATGTTCTGTCCTGGTTCTGAAATCCATTACTAGAAGTAGCTACAGTATTTCCTTTTCTATTTCCTTTTTTCTCAGTGAAAGTGGCATATGTTACCTTCACAGATTTGCTTTTTTAGCTTTTCACTTATCTCCCCCATGGAGCTGAAATCCTGAGCATAGAAGAGATGTTTGTCTGATGGCTCAGAAGCAATTTCCCGCAGTTCTTCCTCAATTGCTTTTCCTATTCCAACGGCATAGATAGTTATACCTGGGTGCGAGAAAAAAAATGCATGCTATTACTAACTAGAGCAACATTCAGATCCGCCACCCATCTGAAAGGAAAATGCAAGTATTAATTAATTACCTAGCATCACAAATATGGATACAAAGATGGTGTTTGGATAATTCCAGCTACACATTGCTGAGGTATACACTCAGTGGCTCCACCACCAGAACTTCTGCAGCAGCTTCCCCACCAGGTTAGCCAGACTGCATGCATGCTCATGTGCTTCTGGCCAGTCCGCATAGCAGCTGGGACACCACAAACAAAGGGCACTTCAGGAAGCCATGAGCTGCTGAATAGGCCTTGGCAGCTGACTGAAGGTCTGGTAGTGTCTCTCACACCTTCAGCTGGCTGCTGGATGGCAGCAGAAGCCTTACTTTGCTTGTTGAGGTACTGTAACTCTGCCAGCGGAGGTGCTGCACACACCAGTGGCAGAAAGACAGTGCAGAGTAAGCCCCCAAGTTCTGTGTTGTTCTAGTAATGGAGTGCTTTACTGTTGACTTTATTAACCAGAAATGTTCCAGTTTAAAAAACCCTAGAGGCTTGGCTGCCACTGACAAATGAACCCTGAAAGAGCACTGAAAGAGCAGATGCAGGGAGAGAGAACATTTTGGATCAACCTAAGCAATGGCACTGGCAGCCCCTAGAAGGGAAATTGGGACATTACATACACACAAGTCTTTTAAAAAAAAAAAAAATTTAAGGCAGGGGTTTCTAGCTTGCTTGGTCTCCTGGGCCAGTTTTGGACTATTGGGCTCCACAGGTGATAGGGCAGGGAATGGCTTTTACCTCTCTGGGTACCTGAGCTATTGTATTGAAACAGGAATACTGGCACCTCGAGGAGCTGCACCAGCCAGATCTGGCCCACGGTCTGTATGATTGAAGTGCCTGGTTTCAGGGGGTTAATGCTCTTTTTCACCCTGAGAGCTGGGCTGGGGGAAATAGCTCTCAAGTTCCTCTTATGAGAGGGATGTCAAACACACTGTGTGTAAGATGGAGCACTCTTCATATCCCTTATTCCAGCAGCTGGCATGAAACTTGTAGTCTAACCTGAGTAAAGTAGAGCCTGAATTGTTCGGAGCTGGGTAGTTCACAACCCACTTAGTGGATAGAAGGTTGCCGAGGCGTATATTCCAAAGGGCACCTCTTTTCCGTGCAGATGGAGCGCAGCTATGGCTGTGCATGGCTGACTGGAATGCCCTTTGAAATAAAAGCTGCAGCTATGACACCTCGGTGATTCCCCCATAGGGGTATACAGAGCCACAGCAACTACCTAACTAGTTCACAAATCTTCATCTTCAGAAAAGGGTAAGGAACCTACCCTGAGAAGTATCCAGGTTCTACTATACTTGTTTCTGGTTATGTCAGGCCTGGCATTAGAAAATGCCCTCACTGTACTGATGCCCTGGATTTTTAAGAACAGTGTTTAATGGTGAGCCTTGTCCTATCAGCAAAACGTCACGGTGAAATGAACACATGATATTTGCCTGAGATCCTAGCTGTTTTGAAAAAATAATGCAGCAATAATCTTTCAAGGCCAGAAAGCTCTTTGTAAGAAAAAAACTTCACATAGAAGGCATCAGATAGCCATGCCTCCGTGCTTTGTTTCAGATAAGATGTAGGATGTGGCATATGTTCATATGTTCCTTCTTTATTACTGGTTGATAACATCTGAGTACCCACTCTGAATTCTATCTCTTGCCCTTCTGGCAGTGCAGAAGGGCATGATGATATAATAAATGCATCTTATCTATCTCCACTTTCAACATTATATTATGCACTGTCCTTATTTTCTATCAAGATTGTGTCTGACATTGTGCTAGCCAGGAAAATAAAACATCCAACATATTATAGAGGCTGATTCAGTTTAATGAATGGGACCATTCATGCTGTTGCTTTTTAAAGACTTGTTGATATCAGTAACAGAACATTCAGGGCCAAATTCATGCTCATAGAGACATGGCCTACAATGGGATTACACTGGGGAGGTATTTGGCTCATAGTGTCTCACATGCAAGTATATGTGATCCAATACTGATGTGTTCTTTAGTAAAAGTGGGACTGACTTGCACTGCTCTCCAAATCCTCTGTTCCACAAAGTCTGCATGGTTTGATGCAGACTTCCAGACCCTACTTGTCTCAGTACTAAAACCATGAGTTTTCAGTCCAATTTTCAAAAGTTTAAAAAGGGGCATTTTATGGATTTTTGAGACTGCAAGCTATTGTCCCTACTCTGAACATTACCCCACTGCTCCTTTCTCATCTTGTAATTTTACTTCCTTTCTTCTCATTACAAGAGGGATATCACCTGGGCTACAAGAATTGGTGTCACTGCTTGTGTTCAGCTGTGCATCACTTGATCAAGTGATAAAGTGGGAAGTGATAATGGATTCAAGTATCCCCTAGGGGTTTGGCAACTGTATTTGTCACAGTCCATCACCCCACACTATTAGAAGAACTGTTAATAAAACAGAATTTGATTGTTTTGAGGAACCCCCCCCCCCCTTTTTTGTGGAAAGTTTGCAATTCTTTCAATCAGGTCTGTATGCAGAAACAGTGATTCTTGTTACAGGTAACTGATCAGAATGGGTTTTTGCCATCTTGTTCCTGGAGTAGAATTTTACAGGCATACAGAACCATGTTTACTGGTCAAAATCACCAGTCTTTGTTTAAAATCTAAGCATAATCTCTCATGAGGCTAGACAGACCTCTACATGCTTCTTTTTCCCCACAAGGACAGTAGATAGGGACAATAAAGCAATTTATAGTTTCATAGTTTCTAGGGTCGGAAGGGACCTGAGCAGATCATCTAGTCCGACCCCCTGCCATGGCAGGAAAGAGTACTGGGGTCAGACAACCCCAGCAAGGAGTTCATCTAACCTCCTCTTAAAAACCCCCAGGGTAGGAGCCTGCACAACCTCCCTTGGAAGTTGGTTCCAGATCCTAGCCGCCCTGACCATGAAATAGCTCCTCCTGATGTCTAACCTAAACCTACCCTCTGCCAGCTTGTGACCGTTATTCCTGGTCACTCCTGGCGGTGCTCGGGGGAACAGTGACTTCCCCAATGCCTGCTGATCCCCCGACTAGTTTATAACAGGCCACAAGATCCCCCCTCAGCCTTCTCTT